TTCCAGGGGAAAGTAAAGGCTTGACAGGAAAGATAGCTTAAAATAAATGTTAGTTAAAATAAATATAAACCCTACACCTGTTCATTTGCCTTGAAAATTTGATCATTTGCATGTTCGATCAAGATGTTTTTGATTATCAAATTTCGTCACTATCCCAAAAGTCCTTCTTGGTGCTTTTTTTTTCCCCCCAAAAGAGTGTATGAAACAAAACAAAGACAAATCTTTATAAAAGTATCTCAGTGTGGTATAGAATTAACTACGTTTCAAGAGTGTTACATAGCTTATGATTACTAATAGGTATTAAAATTCAAACTAAAAAATTTTAACAAATCTTTAATCATTAATTCATTCCTACGCTTTCAGCATTCATCATTCTCAAAATATTTTCGAAAGTCACTTTTGTTCTGGTAAACTCCTGTTGCTTATTTTGTACCTGCGAAAAAAAGAGTACGGATATGCTTGCAAGTTTTGTGCATTATTGTCTTCATTAGTTATTATTTCAGTACTTTTAATCACTACTATTGCTTTGTAAGAGCTATTGAGCTGAGAAGTCCATAATTAAGACCTTTTTGTTTATTTATCACTTCCTCAGTTAAATATTAGTACTATTTTAAAATTCCATTCTGAGTAACCACTATGATGTCCTTTTATTTATGAAAAATAAATTGTGTGTAAAGTCATTTTTTTCCCCTAGCCTAACGATCATGGAAGAAAGAGAGAAAAAGAACAAAACCGTTGCAGAAGTTGCAGAAGAAAAACTGAAATCTTCACTTTTGACAGGGGTTCCCAACATCTTCTTGGAAAAAACCATTGCATGGAAGATTATCAGAATAACTGGTATTCTTTTATTTATGTTTTTATTTGCTTACCAGCTGCATCAGTTCTTAACCGAATACTTGAAGTATCCAACAGTGTCAACTACGAAATTTCTAACGCCTATGGATACAAATGAAAAGATATCATTTGCGCTGCCCGGTATTGTTATCTGCAATAAAAACCCGTAAGTAAAAAAAAAAGTTTTTTTTTTAGAAATTAATGTGGTGTAATTGATCACAGCAACAGCTCATTTTCTGTAAATACAAGATTGTTTTTCCCTTCCATTGTCTTTAAACATTTTTACAATTAGATGAAGAAAGAAAAACTAAGTAATATTTGAAAAATGTTGTATGCATTCTTCAGTATTACAAATCAGATAATGAAATTGTCCTAATACTGTTAAAGAGCAAAAGAATGATTATAATGAAGGCTAAGAAAATACGTCTCACGCAGGTGCAGCTAATAGAGTTAAACCTCGTTAAGCAGTCTTCCCTAGAGGACCAAACAAAAATGTCGTTAGAAGTGGAAAGTTAACGAAATTTTTATTTGACGTTTTAGAAATGAAATAGTACACATATATACTTAAAGCTTCTTCTTGTTATTTAAAATACATTCATTCAAGTACTATTTCCAAATGCATAATTGGAAAATTAATTGCACTATAAAGTTAAAAAAATTAACTAACAAAAAATCTTAAAGGTTTCAGATTTTAAATTACGTCCAAAGGGGCGTCTTTTTAGCGTTTTGTGTGTTACCTTTATTTATTAAATATCACATTCCTCGGACTTAAACCATAAAATTCAGTTCAATATCAATGTCGCAAAATACTCGTAATTTAAAATGGGTATATCTTTTAGAATTTCCGATACACCGTTCCGCGCGCTAGAGATAAAAATTTCTTTTTTTATGTACAACGTTGCCATTCTCGCTTTGAAATCCTTGAGTTTTTTAATCAAAAATTCGTTAAAGATTTACAAAATATGAAATCGATCATAAAACAAATTTCAAATTTCAAATTTGGTCTTCCACATGCCCATTCGTAGGAGGATTACGTCATTCAAAATGCGATGGCCTTATGTACCGTTGTTTTATAACAATGCGAGAAATATGCATACATTTATGCAGATTTTTCATTATTTAATTTCTTTAAATATAACACAGGGCGATAATACTTTGTGGCAACAGTTTTAAAAGTGATTCGCTGTTTGTAATGAATCGACGCAAAATCGCAAAACGAAAACATTAGTCCTTCAGGGACAAAGACTCTTTGGAATAAAAAAAAATTATACACACTTTTATTTAAAAAAAACCTTTAATAGATGATGATTTTCTCAATATTGGTTTGCTATTTTTAACAATTGGTCTCAGTTTGTCCAATTGCTGCACAATTTTCAAAGTCCGATAATAATTTATCTAATTAGAAATGAATAGACAAAATTAAAAAAAAAAAAAAACACACACACACATAGTTGGGTTGTGAATTCGTAGTAACGTAACAAAAGTTTAACTGTACTAATACAAAGTTAATGCTTAAAATATGAGGCCAAGATGGGAAAAATCTGACAATCATCTTTCTATAGAAAAATATCTCGTATTGCACTCTTGTTCGAGGAAATTAATTGCACAGTCTTCATAACATAAAAATTCGCTCTTTCAGAGTCAAATGTTTAAAACAGTCAAAGTATAATGAAAATGATTATCAAAATGTAACGTACTCTATACACCTGTATTTAGCAAGCTGAATTTAATTAAGGGTTTTTCAGTTGAAGATAACCGTAAGTAGCTATATTCACGGATGAAAAAGAAACACCATCATAAAAAAAATAGTTCAGAGGAATGAAATACAAGGAAAGCAGGTTTAAAAATAATATATTCATTTGATTAAAGTTTCACGTCACATGCTAAAATATGCACGAGAGGAGCCATTCCAAATGTGCAAAGATGGTGCGTTATTAAATGCTGTTATCGTCATAATGTTTAGTGCAAGCATGCAAACGCTCAGGTATTGGCATGCAGGTGCCGTATGTCACTTTGTGGAACGGAGTTCCACGACAGTCAATGCATTAATGGTTCATATTGGTTGTACATGAAGCTAGACTTGTCCTCCAAACATGCCCCGTACATGTTCGATGGAAGAATGATCGGTTGAGCGTGCAGGCCAAGGCAACTTGTCGACACTCCGTAAAGGATGTTGGATGATTGCAGTAACATGGGGAGGAGCGTAATCCTGCTAGAAAATTTCGCCAGGACAATTTCTCAAGAATAGCAGCACAGCCGCTGTAATCAGCAGTCTGATGTACAGATTTGCAGTTGAGTTATGTGAGATAACGACAAAAGTTCTCCTGCTGTCAATAGGAAATTGCTTCCTAGACAGTAGCTTCTGGTGTTGGTCCAATATGTCTACTTCACAAAGAGCTTGGTTGCTATCGTTCGCTTTATTTCTGAGAACCCACCAGATTTCCACTCAACCGTCCAATGAACTTTAGTGTCACCAAAATCGCAGATGGTGGTGATTTAGTATTAGTCATATAGTCACTAGAGGGCTTCTGGTTTGAAACTCTTCCTCAAGTATTTGAGTTGATACAGTTCACTTAATCACTTCCTTGCCAGCAAAAGTTCATACAGTGTGATAAGCCAACGACATGCGCAAATACGGCGGTCTTGTGTCTGAATGGTAGCTAGTGTGCGACCAGACCTCGGATATCTGGACACAGTACCTTCCCGTGAATATCTACCGTGGATACATTCCTGTCAAGTCTTATCGTGGAAAAAAGTCCACTTTCTTGTAGCCATATTACACGGCCTCGTTCAACCTTAACCAGCTGCTGATATTACCTCCTTCATCTCTTTGAGAGTATTATTGACTCAAATCCCGCCTGCAACGCTTCGTCCGGCAGATAAGTAAAGCAAACAAAACTTGTTTCGCATATTTGAAGCAAACGGTATATGCATGTTAATAGTAGAGCTACTAGCGCCATACTTATTCGTCTCTCGGGAAATTTGAAAAGATATTATGTTTAGATATGCAAACACGCTTCCCCAGTTGTTTCGTTTATGTAGCATAACTCCTTCTTGGTGTCAGGATTAGAGTTTTAGATTGGTATATGTTTCCGTTACAAAATTCTCACTATATAGTATTTATGTTTCCAAACGTATTTGGAATTCAAAGCTGGAAGACAGCTCAAGTTGTAAATTAACTCTCAAAAAGTCTAATTTTGATTCAATTAATCCATGTCTGCACATAGTTTCTTATTTACACCATCATTTAATGAGGAAAGAAGAGGCAATTTTCTAAAAAGTGATTTCTAGGGCTGTTTGGAAAGTCCTCAGAATTACTCTCTTTAAAAACGTTCAAAATATGGTGAAGGCCAAATAAAGTGTATTCGCCCATATAAGCGGCTTCATTTCAACTATTCTTTCAATTACAACGTCAGCCGACTGAGAGTTTAATGATGCAGATCCACAAACTAATACATGAAATTATTGCATATGAGCACAATAAGTAGCTATAAATGAAATATTAAGCAAATACTAGATAGACGAGCATAAAATAATAAAACAAAATGCACCAAAGTAAATAAATCCAATTCATAATATTACGCAAATAGCTAACACTAAAACACAAGCAAATAGCAGAGACATTTGGGTAGTTTACACATTACTAACAAACAAGGAGGTTAGAATACAAACCTCCTTGCTAACAAAGGATGCGAAAAAGTAATCCTTCAAAAAAATACTTTATTCAAAGGAGGGCACTTGCGTATTCATCGGCCGCTCCTAAGACCAGAAGTGGTGGCTATCTTATCGTGGAGGCATCTAATAGGCGGCCACCGTTGCTTTCTATGAAAAGCCGGACAGTTAGAATCATGCCTTCTCCGGGATTCGAACACGGGACTTTCGGTATCGCGTTATAGTCTTCTAACCATTATATCGTCTCGAGGGCCCTCCAAAAAATAACCTTAATATTACTTACATCACTATATGCGATTGGAGTTCTAACTCCAGAATTCTATTATTTAAAACAAATATAGTAAATTTTTGGTAGTTTAAAAAGGTTTATATATCAGTTTATCGCCATTCTTGGAATTATACAGTTTGGTGTTTATTCTTTGATGAAGGTCCTGCCGTATGTTTCCTACGGGATTTGACCAAGGTGCTCAAAACTATCAGTTCAGTCGTGTTCTTCATATCGGTAAGTAAGAGAATTCTCGAATCTTACGGAAAATGAATGATATGAATTTCTGACTTTTTCTGTGAATCTGGTGACATTTTGTTTCTTATGTAAAAATGGCCTATTTACAACTACTAAAACTAACCCAAAGCACTTCAGATAAAATGTCTTGGGTAAGATAGGTTTCAGAATATATAAGTATGAGTCCGTTTTAGATTTTCTGTAGGCTCTGCGCCTTCATTCATTCAAATAGCATATAACAGACTTCTATTTATTAAGTGTCTATAACTTAATAAATTAATTAAGTGTCTGTAACTTCATGAATAAAAGGTTGTCATATGTTAAGCTTACGCTAAGGTATCCGACTGCGTTCTGATCGTCAATTTTGAAGAAATTTGTCAAAACAAATTATTACTTAGGTTTAAAGCTTATATTTTGAGCTTCCAAAAACTATTTTTGTTTTGTCTCTCCGGTGATTAGAAGTAGAGTTATGGCTGTTTTTGTTCTACACCATGAACCGGAAGTTGCTGTTTAAATGGCCGAAAGTTGATATTTGAGGGACACAGACTGTTATAAACCAGAATATTTCATTTGAATACTGTTGGCGATATTCAAAAGATGATTTTGAAATATATATATTACTATTATGTGATTACTTTCGAATTTCAGTATCATTGACAACATTTCGTTTGTCTTTACATTCTGATTTGATTACACCTGATTTAGCGTGCTTGCTTTTATTCAGTATATTTTTATCTCATTCTGCTTTGTTATTTAACATTGTGATAAAAATATTTTCACTTTATTATTGTAAACGTCGTAATGATCGGCGTGGAACTTTCGTCTAAAAACGGCGATTGCTGGAAAAAGATACTGTGAAAGCTTCTGCCAGTGAATCGAAACTAGGAAACAATAAAACATTTTCTGAAAATTATATTGAAGCTAATAATGCTGCTGGAATGAAGCTGGTAATAGAATATTCGATGTTGAAATTCTAAAATCTGTATTTTCTG